AAAATGAATTTTGCAACACAATTGGTAGTGCCGAAACTACCCTCTTCGAAAATCGGGAGTGCGTGGGAGAAGATTTCAACAATGCAATAGGTTTGTTCTTCACGTATTTAGTTTTCCATGTTTAGCAGTCCAGTAGAAATTTTCTTTTTTGCCCCTCTTGGCTCTACCCATGTATCCATCCAAATAATTAAATATTAAGTATATAACTAAAAAAAATTTATACTTTCTCTACAATATTTTTAGTGACATTGAGATTTGTGGGCAAAGTTCACTTTTTCCCCATAAAAACGACATTTCAAAACGTCATTCTCGACATCTTAAATGTCTAGAAAGACATTTCATTTCAAATATGATATTTCTCTACATTTCAAATGTCATTCTCGACATTTCTGTGTTAATGCAAAACATAGCATTAATTGTGATTTGACATCTTGTCCTTTGCAATAAATAGAGCATGTTATGTGTCAAGATTTCATTAGCCCATATTTTTTTTTGCAAAAATGTCCATTTTATTGTCCTTGAATGAAATTATAAATTGTTGGCCATGAGTATTTTGGTCTAACATATACCAAAATGGTCATTTTTGCAAAGATTTTTGAAAGTTGCTATTTTCGCAAGTGGCTAGAAGAAAGTGGACATTTCTTACAATTTTCACTTAATACAAAGGTTAAAAGTGCAATTTGAGAAATTGCACATTTAACCCTTGTCATCCCCTATTTATAGGGGATGAATGCCTCACGGGACACTCCTCCCGTCTTCTTTCTTTTCACATATGTTTTCTTTGATTTGTTTTGTTTTCTGTCTTTAATTAATTTGTTAACTATTTATTTATTTATTTTAACTACTTATTTGATTTATTAATAGAAATTAAAATTCTTATTTTATGGTTCTTTGATAATTTGAAGGAATATAAAATTAGAGTTAAATTTAATTAATTAAATCAAGGATGATGAATTTTAATCTCTCTAACTCCAAACCTTAAACCTATAAATTATTCCAAGAAATAACGAGTTTTATTTTATTTAACTTGTGTTAAATGGCTTAAAGTAAATAAAAAGGAAATGGAGTAGGGATAGAAAATGGTTTGGATTGATAGTTGTGAATATTATTATGTTGTTGGTTATGAAAATTGAGCCACTAATATATGGATACATATGGGCAAATAGATGATAAATTCAATTGTAGAGAAATCATTAACATTTGAAGCTTAAATTGAAATTATTTTGCTTTAATTACATTATAATATGAAAAGTAAAAGTTTGTCATGCATGGTGTCAACGGTGGGGTGTAGTGGAAATTTAGTAAAGAATAGTATTGGATAAGACATGTATTAACCGATATGGATACATATATACCGATGTATTGAATGAAATGAAAAATTGATAAAAAAAATGAAATGGAAAACAATAGAATTGGATGACGGTGTATTGGTTTGCCTGATTTTTACATGTACTAATTATGTTTGAGAAAGTATGGAATTTCTTTTATATAACGAGAATTCCATTTATATCATTGTTACTATTTATTAGTAGTAAAAGTAGTATTAGTGTTACTGTTGTTACTAGGTTTTTTTTATTATGTATATTATATTATCTTATAGGCCTAGTTTAGATTTGTTAATTGGGAGATAAGACGTTAAAATATGATTATTTTAGATATTATTTTATTATTGCAGATCTTGATCGGGAAGGTCATGAAAAAGGTAAATATCGTTGTTTTTCTACTACAGTACAATATATATTAATATGTAAAGTTATGTGTTTATATGTGTTTGTTTTTATTACATTACATGGTAACGTGGTATATGTTTGCATTAGATTTATTTGGGCAACGTATGGATAATTACATTTTCAAGGTCATGCATACTTTTATTTTTATTGAGATTGTGGTTGGAAATTGTAAATATGAATCTCATTATAGATGTATCATACTATTGTATCCGGATAAATATACCGCTTGAGGCTCCTGATGGTCATTAAAAGTAATCAAGGATATGGTATTTTGAGTTCGGTACTTGTATACATGCAATGCACGAAGGTCCCTTGGGACTGTAGATAGACACACGAAACACTGTATACTTAGGCTAAGCCTTTGATTTATATTGTTATATACTGATGTGACATCTTGAGTCTTGATAGGCGACGAGGATGCACTAACATTAGTTTTGTGTGCAAGTAATGGCCATGTTATTTTGAGCTCATACGATACACTACAATAAAGATTCAGGCCCAAGGATGCTTGATATACATTTTTGCAACATCATATTTACTGAACTTTAATGTTCACGCTTAATATTTTGTACTATAGATGGCATCACAAGAGATTGAAATTATTCAAACGATTAGGAATGTCAAAATTATTGAGGACCTGATAGCTATACATGTTACATACACTCGTACACTCTATACTCATTTTTACACAATCATTGATGAGAATGAAAGGGTCGAAACTTTTGAAGAATATAAAGACTTTGTAATGGTTATGATTGATGTCTATATTTTGATTACATACCGTTAGTTAATAATATGATATACACGGAATAAACATTAAGTTGCTATCATGTAAAAGGGTGATTGCACATAGTAAACGTATAGTGAAAATGGAATGACCTACCTGACACAGATATGCCACCACACCAGCTCACTATGGGTTAGTTTTTAGGGAAACTTTTTAAAAATTAGCAGCATTTCTTTTGACTCAAAATTTGGATTGTAATATAGCTAACTCGTTATCACATATATTTTTGTGAAACACGTTCTCTTTTGATAGAATATAAAACTAGCTGATTCTTTTAACTTTTTACATTATTATTTTGATTATTTTGATATATTTTTATTTTACTTGAAATGCCTACTTGAGTTAAGTGCAAATTACAAGTTAAATACAAATTATGCCTACTTCCAAGCTCCAAATACCCTATAATGTAAAGAGTTCAAAGAATGCCCTAATTTTATATTATATCAAAAGAGAACTTATTTTACAAAAATATATCTGATGGCGGATTAGCTATATTACAATTCAAATTTTGAGTCAAAAGAAATGTCCGCTAATTTTCAAATTTTTTTCCTAAGAACTAACCCATAGCGGCTGGTGTGGATTCCATTTTCACTACATTCACTACGTACAATCACCCTATTTTACATGATAGCACCTTAATGTTTATTCCATGTATGTTATAGTATTAACATAACGGCATGTAATCAAATCATAGACATCGATCATAACAATTACAAAGTCTTTATATTCTTCAAAAGTTTCAGTTTCTTCATTCTCATCAATGACCGTATAAAAATGAGTAAAGAGTGCACAAGTATAAGAAAACTGTATAGATGTCAGGTTCTCAGTAATTTTGGCATTCCTTGTCGTTCGGATAATTTCATTCTCTTGTGATGCCATCTATGGTACAAAATATTAAGCCCTTGTTTGAACCCCATTTTGTTTGAAAACAATACATTCTTGAATAGTATTTTGATCACATTTCAACCACACATTCTTTAATAAAATAATATTACACGCAAACATTATTTTTCTTATTTTTAACTACACATTTCTCATTAATGCACTATTCAAAAATTCATTTTTTTTTATGACAAAAGTGGGGCTCAAACAAGCACTAAGTGTGAACACTAAAGTTTAGTAAATAGGATGATGCAAAATGTATATCAATGTCCTCTAGTGCATCTGTTGTCATTCACTAAGACTCAAGATGCCACATCAGCATATAAGAAATATAAATCAAAGGTCTGGCCTAAGTATATAGTGTTCTATGTGTCTATCCACAATTCCAAGGCAACCAAGAGACCTTTGGACACCACCTGTATATATGTGTCAAACTCCAAATACCATATCCTCGACGACCTTTAATGATCGTCGGAGCCTCAAGTGATATATTTATCTAGACAAAATAGTACGATACATCTATAATGCGATCCATATTTACAATTTACAACCACAAACTCAATAAAAATGGCAATAAAAGTATGCATGCCCTTGAATACGTAGTTATCCATATTCCAATACAAACGTACGCCACATTATCATGTCACATAATAAAAATAAACACATAATTTTACATATTAATGTATCTTGTACTGTAGTTATAAAACATCAATATTTACATTTTTCGTGACTTTCTTGATCAACATCTGCATTAATAAAATAATCTATAGATTAATCATATCTTAACATCTTATCTCCCAATTAACAAACCTAAACTAGGCCTATAAGATAATATAATAGATACTTAATAAAAAACCCTTTGTAATAACAAACTCTAATACTACTTTTACAATCAATAAATATTAACAATAATACCAATGGAATTCTCGTAATTGTTACATAAAAGAAATTCCATAATTTCTAAAAAATAATTAGTACATGTAAAAATCAGGCAAGCCAATGCCTGTATCAAATTTTATTATTTTTTGTTCCATTTTTTATCCATTTTTCATTTCATTCAATACACGGGTATATATATGTACCATATTTATTAATTCATTTCCTATCAAATCCATAGTCTTCTTTAATAAATTTCCACCACATCCCACTATTGACAATATGCATTATAAACTTTTACTTTTCATCTTAAGATGTAACTAAGTCAGAATAATTTCAATTTAAGCTTCAACTGTTAATGCTTTCTCTACAATTGAATTTATCATCTATTTGCCTATACGTATCCATATATTAGTGGCCCAATTTTCATTACCAGGAACATAATAATATTTACAACTATCATTCCAAACCATTTTTTTCTCCATTTCATCTATTTACCATCCCCTTTTTCCAAACCTCTTTCATATAATTTTTGATAATACAAGTTAAATAAAACTCATTATTTCTTGGAATAACTTACATATTTTAAAAAAGTATAGAGTTAAGGTTTGGAAATGGAGACACTATAATTCACCATCCTTGATTTAAGTAATCAAATTTAACTCTAATTTTATCTCCCTTCAATTTTTTATTTTTTTTATAAACAGCAATTCATGCATTAATAATCAATCAGCATCCATACATGAATTGGCATCAAGCCATAAAAAATTTTGAAGGAAAGATGGAAGATGATCCCACCATACAGAAATATCAGCAACGTTCCAAGCATTCCTAGCCAATGCATGAGCTACAGAATTCCCCATACGATTAACATGTTGAATTTGGACTTCCTTAAATCTTGACAAGAGTTGCTTGACATCAGCAATAATGTTACCTGCATTAGCTAAAGAATTTGATGAAGCTTGCAATTCTTGAACAAGCAAAAGACAATCACTTTCGATCACAAGCTTGCGAATGCCAAGTGGTATACATAGCTGCAAGCCCCTTAGTATTGCAAGAGCTTCAATTGTAGCCGCCTCATCAACAACATCCTCCCTTTTTGTTGCAGTCCTTAACACTCCACCAGTAGCATCCCGTAGTACCACTCCCACACCATCTTTCTGAATATCCTCAAAAATAGTCCATCGACAGTCATTCTAACAAAGCCATCCGGAGGTTTCTGCCATTGGTAAACAATTCTAATACTTCTTGGTAATGCGAGCCAAACTTCATTATATGCATTATACATTGAAATAGCATGCTCAGCTGCCTGCTTGCATTGAACTATTTGCATTTTATTCCGCCTTTACCACAAACACCAGCATAACACGAAAAACAAAGCCACCCCATTATCATTGCCAAGCCGTACTACTTTCCTCACAGTATCAATAAAATTTAAAGAGATGGGAAAAATGTTAATCAAAGGGAGGTATTGCTGCCACATATCCCTAATATCTGGACATTTTAGGAAGACATGATCAACATCCTCATCCGCACTTTGACAAAAAATCACCCTGATTGAATATCAATGTTCTTCTTCATAAGGTTATTAATAGTTGGAAGAATATTTTTGCGAGCATTCCAAGCAAAAGACCTGACCTTTATAGGCATCTTCATTTTCCAGATCCTCTTCCATATGGGTGTATCTTGTGACTGAAAGGAGGATTCACCAATTCTGTTAACGACACAATTTAAAATTAATTTATAAGCTGATTTCACCGTAAAGTTTCCACTTGACTCCTTATCCCATATCATCTTATCCCTAACTCGGTTAAAAGGCAGTCTGATTCTGAGAATCTCCTCAACTATATTTGGATTGAAGAGAGCCCTCAACACCTCTCTATCCCATGAATTTGTCTCAACATCAATCAAGCTATTTACAGTGGCATCCTCGTCAAAGCTAACCGCAGCCATTTCTTTGCTTCAAATATTCCTCTCCAAACATAGGACGAACCCATACCTAATCTTGCTTGGAAAAAGGAACATTTTGGATAATATTTGGACTTAAAGATTCGGCTTAGTAATGATGTTTCATTTTGTAATAACATTCACCCTTGCTTAGCTAACAATGACATATTAAACATATGTAGATCTCGAAAGTCCATTCCACCCCAAAACTTAGATACACATAGCTTCTTCCAGCTTATCCAGTGAATTTTTCTCTCATTATTACGCTGGCACCACCAAAATCTAGCCAACGTACCTTCAAGCTGATGACACAAACTCAGAGGCAATTTGAAACAACTCATGGCATAGGTAGGTATTGCCACCGCTTTAATAAGAAGCTATTGCCCTCCTTCGGATAAAAGCTTCTCTTTCCAACTTTGTAAATGACTTCAAACCATCTTCTTAATCTCATCAAAAGCTTGAGTTTTATGTTTTCCAACAAAATTTGGAAGTCCCAAATATTTATCATATTGTTAGAAATTTGTAACTCCCCATAACCTCAATAAATCCCTCTGCTGCCCTGCTTCTACATTCTTTGAAAAAACCATTGACATCTTCCCTCTATTCACCATTTGACCTGAAGCCGATTCATACACTTGTAATAACTTTGCACTCACCTGGTTGTCTCAGCATCAACTTTACAAAAAAGAATACTATCATCACCAAAAAGAGGTGGGTTACCATTGGGGCCTCTCTACAAACTTTAATTCCCACTAAGTCTCCTTGAGCTTCAGCATTTTTTAGGAGTGCAATTAAGCTTTCCGTACAAAGGAGAAATAGATAAAGGGAAAGTGGATCCCCTTGCCTAATACCCCTTGTGGGTAAAATTGGACCATGAGCATCTCCATTAATTAAAACTGAAAAACTGACAGTTTTAATGCACTCCATAACAATGCTCACAAAGGTGGCTGCAAACCCCAACTTAAGCATAATAATCTCCAAAAAACCCCACTCCACCCGATCATATGCTTTACTCATATCTAACTTAAGTGACATATACCCCTTTTTACCACTTCTCTTGTTTCTTAAATTATTAACAAGTTCATAAACAATGGGTATATTATCACTAATCAACCTCCCTCCCACAAAGGCACATTGAGATTTAGAAATGAGAGCGGGCGTAAACCTCTTCATTCTATTAACAAACACTTTATATATAAGCTTGTAAAACACATTACATTAACTGATGGGGCGATAATCAGACACAACCTCACAATTTTTCTTCTTAGGAATCAAACTTATAAAAGTATGATTTAGGGGAGGATGCAATTTACTTGAATTAAGACCTTCAAATTATTAAAGAACCATAAATCTTATTAATAAATCAATTAAGTACTTAAAATAAATAATTAAACAAACAATTAATTAATTAAAGGAAGGAAGGAAACAAAGCAAATAGAACATACTTGAAAAGGAAAGAAAATGGAAAGCATGTCTCGTGAAGCATTCTCCCTAGGGATGGCAACGGGGCGAGTCAGGACTACCTCCCCCACCCCGTTACCCGTTTAAGACAAGGCAAGGCAAGGTGGGGCAGGAGCCCTTGCCACGTTTACTATCCATTTAATTATTAATTTTTTAAAGTTTTTGATAATTCATTTTATTGCCCTCATTCATTAAAGCGAAACAATGATATATTTTTTTATTTTATAAAGTTAAATTATTTGAATATATTTGTTAAACTGATGCTTTTATTGTTTATCAAATTTCTTAGATAATCTTAGTTGTCATCTTCTATTAGAACTAATGAAATTTCATGGAGTTTTCCCTTGAAAATATTGAATTCTTAAAATGAAAAAAAAAATGTAAACGGGGTGGGACCCTTGTTACCAGTACCCGCCTCGGGGAGAAGTCACCCACCTCGTCCCCGACTCGAATACCCGAATAAGCGGGTAATCCCCGTCCCGTTCAGGGTAGGGCTACTCGGGTATCGAGTTTGACGGATTTTTTTGTTATCCCTAATTCACCCCTTATTTATAGGGGATGAAAAGTTAAATGTGTAATTTTTCAAATTGCACTTTTAATCCTTAGGGTAAATATGAAAATGCACAATTTCTATAAAATTACACTTTTAGGACCATAGTAATACTTTAATTACGTTTTCTATAAAATTTATATTATTAGTTCAATTAAGTCCCTAAAATATTTAGAAACTTTCTAAAATATTTAAAATCTTTGCTAGAAAATTTATAGGTGTTACGTTATCCTCCACTTAGAAGAAATTTCGCCCTCAAAATTTAAAACTTACCAAATAATTTTGGATATTTAGTCTTCATATCTTCTTCTTCCCATATTGATTCTTTTAAGGCTTGATTTTTGCACGAGACGTTGACAAGTGAAATACATTTGTTTCGTAATTGTTTAACCTCTCGAAGTAAAATATTCATTGGTCTTTCTTCGTATGTTTAGTTAGTTTAGTTTTCAGATCCGTTGGATTATCTGGTAACACATGTGAATCATCTGGAGCGTACTTTCAAAGAGCACATACATGGAATATATTGTGGATTCGATCCATTGAAATCAGTAAGTTTAATTTATAGGCTACTTTGCCAATCCGTTCCAAGATTTCAAAATCGGTATTGAACATCCCTCCTGTAATTGTACAAGCTCCCATAACAATAACAAATTATGGTTCGGGCATTTGCTCCCTTAAAACCTATACATGATAGATAGACTCTTGTAACACTGGCATATTTGCGCTTACTTGAACATAATTTCTTTCCAAAAGAAAGGTTAATTCCATAAAACAAAAAAAGGACCAATATACCTAGGGACTAAGTTTTTTCCTTTTTTCCAAATCTAAATACCATTTTTATGGGTGATTACGAATACTTTGTCTCTAAATGCGAATTCTAATGATCTCCTTCTCCTATCAGCATACTTCTTTTGACGATTGTGAATGGTAGCAGGGTGCTGACCAATATTTTAGGTTGCATCAACAATATTTCGCACTAGTTCTGGCCCTAAAACCAATTTCTCTCCAATTTCATCACAATGTATAGGCGATCTACACTTGTGACCATATAAAGCCTCTAAAGGAGCCATTCCAATTGAAGACCGGTAACTATTATTGTATGAAAATTCTATCAAAGGTAGATACTTGTTTCATTTTCCTTGAAAATCTAAAGTACAAGCACATAACATATCTTCTAATGATTGGATGGTTCGTTCCAATTGATCGTCTGTTTGAGGATAGAATGATGTATTAAAGGAGAGTCGAGTACTTAAAGCTTGGTGTAACCCTTTCCAAAACGCCAATAAGAATTGAGGATCCCAATCTGATACTATTGATGTTGGTATATCATGTAAACGTACCATTTTGTGTACATATATCTGGACATATTGTTTCGATGTAAAAATGGCTTGAATAGGCAAAAAGTGAGCTGATATAGTCGATCCACTATAACTCAAATGGCATCGTAATCTCACCACAACGTCCATCGTAATCTTTTTCCATTTCCATCCAAGTATTTGCAAAGGTTGGAGAGGTCTTGCTGGACGTTAATGTTCGGCCTTAACTCGTTGACAGGTGAGGCACTTATTTACAAAGCATGTTTGATATACTTTTTTTTTTCCAAGTTTGTATGTAGCTATACTTAGTGAATGATTTTTGTTACTGCTTTGATGGAGCATTTTGGATTCAATTTTACATTGTTTGACACTAAGTGTCTTAATTAATTCATTGTCTTATTGCATCTTTACATTATTTTGAATAAGGTTAAAAAAACTAATAAAATATAAGTAACAAATAAAATATATGAAAGTAATTTAATTTCTCCCTACAAATTCTTTCATTGTTGAGATAAAGAATAGTCTATAAATATTCTTTTCCCACGAAAAATTATTTGTAAAGAAAAGCAGGGCTTAGCCCACAAAATAATCTATACTATATTGTGACAGATTCTAATTGTTGGGAGAAATATGTATATCTTAGCCCACAAATATTCTTTCTACACAAAATGTATTCATAGGAAAAAATACGTTGTAGTCCACAATCTAATTCATAGGGAAAAGCAAACCATTTCATGGGCAAAAAATTATTTTAGTAGACAAATGATTTTGTCCGGAAAGACTTGCGCAACATATTTTATTCGTCTCTAAAAGGTTCGTAGGGAAAAACTTTAGCCCATAAATTTAAAAAAATTGTCGGCTTTTATCCATCCCGTAAATGTTTGCCTCACAAATTTGCCTACAAATTTTTTTCGTCTATCACAAATAAGTACATTTCCCTACAAATAAATTGTAGAAAAACCATAAAATTCTTGAAGTGATATTTATTAGCTAAGATAACGTGGAAAATACGAATTTCAACAATCCAAACTTACATTTTTGCTAATTCTGAGTAAAACTATCTACTCAATTACCAAAACAAAAAGAAAACAAAGACTTGAGAAGAAAACAAAGACTCACTGTTGGATATTTTCAACATATGTGGGACCACACATTGTATATTGAAATGTGTGGTACTATTATTTAAAAGATATTAGTCAATTAAAGTGATCCGTTAAAGATGTATTGTGACTAATGAGTATTAGGTTTCATGGAATTATAGTGTAGAGATCGAAGTGTTGTTTTAGATTGATGAGGGGTCAATTTGAAGTAACTGAAAGATAGTGACTATTGAGTTACTACTAATATTTTATATGGTTATGGTCCCCATTTGTTGGTGTTCTTAAGTTTCTCTACATCCCCATCAATATAGAGCAAAAGTTGAAGTGAAGATTACCAATCAATTGGAAGATTTTAACCTATCCAGGCAAAGAATCAGATTACTATATGTTTTATGTTTAATTGTTTTTCTCGGATTTCAACGGGGAGATGAATCTATGGTTATATTTGAGAATTAATGATTTGATTATTGTTTTGATTGATAATCCTTTTATGTTTTTCTATCAAGTGGTATCAGAGCCACTCCAGAGTTGAAATTCGTGAGAAATTGAAATTTTATATTCTGAATTTTTATGGATTCT